TATATATATATATATATATATATATATATATATATATATATATATATATACATATAATATTTTTAAATTTTGAATATTTGAAAAATATTGTAACATGTGATTTTGAAAAACAGAATTTTTTGAAAGCGATGCCAATTACCGGGTCTCACCGACGAGGAGGTGACTACGCATCGAGACCCACCTAAAGCTAAAAAATAAAAGCAAGATAATTAAAATTAATGACAAGAATTAAATAAATACAAAGCGTTAAATATATAAAAATTTATATCTCATATTTAAATTAATCGCTCGTCATCATACACACGCAAAAATATTTACATTACAATTACATAAAAATCTTAAACTAACTTAATTAATACTATATAAATCTATCGAGCATCCGTATCAAGAATACTCTCCCTCAACCTAGAACGAAATAAAACAATGAAATTCACAATTGAAATTCGTATAAGAAAATGTTCGAAAAGAAAGAAATCTTAAAATGAATTGATCAGAAACGAAGTAAAGAAAAAACCAAGAATAATCTAGAGAAAAGTGAATATTGAAGAAGAACTTAGGCGATCGATAAAAAAAGGAAGAAGAATAAATTTAAAGAACCAATCCTCTGTAAATCATTGTCCTATCACGATTTACATCAATGGACTTACGAAAGTCGATGGACGGATAATACTCACCAATCGTGGCCAGTCAAGAATCGCGACAGCGGTCTAGCAGAAGAACAATTTACGCCCTGATGACTCAGGGTGGAACAAAGAATAAATCCTTGACCACCGGACCACCGATTTACGAGGACGACGTTCGACCACTGGACCGAACTCTGCTCGAGTACTCGAAGGTACCATTCGACCAGAGCGCGGACCCTTGACTGGCCACCGGAAGTAGAGCACCAGTCCAACGACTTCTGTTACGTGATCGAAGTGATGATCGTCTAAGATCGAAAGGAAGAAAAAACGAACTAAATATGGGAATAAATTAAGGAAGAAATTAAGGAAGAGAACGGTTCGAATCGAATCGAAAAAATAGAAGTTCGAGACGAGAGTAGGAGTAAAAGTTTCTTTTAAATTACGTTTTAAATTAAGGGGAGTGTATCTTGATACGGAATGTGTTTACAATGAACTTAATTACTTAATATTAACTTATTAATTAATCTGTGTCGAGAATATTCTCGTCTGATATGAAAAAATGGGTAAAAAATTTTCGAATATTTTCTATTTAAAAAAAGTGAGAATTGAGGAATAAAATAAAAATAAAACGAGAATATTCTTGTATAGATTTTAACGATACCTGCAGTTCAGTCTGTTGATAATTTGGTCAAATAATTAAATAGAATCGAGCAATTTTCAGATTGGACTGCAGGCATATTTTAAATATTAAATATTTTAAAATATACAATTTTAAATATACGTACATGCGTACTTTTTAGTTTGCTTTTCAAAGAGTAATAATATAATATGAAATATTTGTGCAATTTTGTATTTTTTAAATTTTGAATAAAAAAAATTTCGAAAAGCGATTTGCCGAATAATAATAAAAAAAACGAAACAAAAAAATCTGAAACAAAAGAAAGAAATTTAAAACAAATATTAAGTATGTTAAAAAAATATGGAATATAAAAAAAGATTTAATATAAAATTAAATCTGAAAAAAATCTGAAACACGTAAAAAGAATTAATTAAAAATAAACAAATTAAAAATTTTACAGAACAGAATTTCGAGAATTTATAAAATTACTTTATATGATTGAAAAATCAGGAATACAGGGACGAGAAATATTATATAATTCTTACCAGTAATAACGAATAATCACTTTTATTAAAAAATATTCGCAAAAGTTTACTTTTTAACAGTATCTTCATCAACAAATGCTTTCGGTATCCTGGGTGCTGGAAAAGAGAGAACAGCCAAAAGAGGCTGGAAAAACCACCCTCTTGCAACTTTTATAGCTGCATTTGGTGGTCAAAAAACCACTTCCACAATATTAGTGGAAGAATCATGGGCATTTTATACACGCGACGCTACTTTCAAAAAAAACGCGGACACTTTTTAACGCAACGCTAACTTTTAAAATGAATTTAATAAAAATACAAATAAATCGAAAACCGATATAATTAAAACTCGAAATAAAGGAAACGTGCAAATTTTTAATGTTACTTTTTTAAAAAATTTATATTTTATCGAAATCGAGATTATTAAAAAAAAATCGCGATGTCTCATAAAACGCAACACTAAAACAAACGCGGCCATTATTTATTCGCAACTCTAATGCAAACCGTAATTTATTTCTCGCGACGCTAATTAAAAATTAATTTTAAAAAACGCGATTTGCCCATTTTATTACGTTGGACCGGAATGTCCATCGGCCAGAAAATACAACTACTACTACTACTACTACTACTACTACTACTGCTACTTCTACGTACTACTAAAACGAGCATAGTGACAAAGTAGTAACAAAAATGGCTTCCCATTCTTTCGATTCAGACAAGATCGAAAAAATGAGAGACCATTCGTTGCAGCCCTCTTCGTGACAATTTGTCGGGCCTCTTCGGTCTTCCTCCTTCGGGCGCGATGCCCGCTGAAACTTAAAACTAGGCTCGAGATTTCCTAATTTCCCAAAAAAAAAAAAAAAAAAAAAAGAAAATCGCGGAAACTGAACGCACATGGACGACCAACGATCGCAGTGATCATTGTCCGTACATGCGCGGAATCTCGAGCGCAACACGTTCGTTTCGAGACCAAATCGCGAATTCGAAAAATCGACGAGCAAAGTCGGAAACGAACGATCGCTCAACGACCGCTCGTCTCAACTCTGCCCTCGATCTTTCAAATTTGACTTCCTGAAACAGGTTGTCACGCCTACCCAAGCAGAGACCGTGACAACCTGCCCGGCCTACCTACTTATAATTAACACACACACACCAGAAGTATGCTACCTATCCTGCCTGGCGCTATATTTAAAAAAATGGCAAAGCAGGCACACCAACACACCCACTCCACGATTCTCACGCATTACACCCGGGTGCAAAAAGCCTAGACTAGGGAGAGCGTCCCGGGACACCCTCCGACACCCGAGCTTGATACCACATTCACACTCTAACTTTTCAACGTACCATTTTCCTGAAATCGACTGACGATGGCTAGCGACCATTGCGTGTTAAGTGAAAATGTTAATTTTATAAATTAAATATTTACGACCGATGTGATTATATAGCTTGTTAATTATATTTCATGAAAGATGATGCGATATATCGCGATTGTAAATTGTATATAATTTGGTAAAACGAATCGACGCAATTCCACATCCTAACCACGCACACTATGTGGAAAATACGTCGTGCACGATCGTTAACTCATCGTCAGTCGCTGTTAATAATTAAACTTATACACTATGGTCATCGTGCCCATTGCCTTTCTCTCGTCCAAGTAGCACCTGGGCACGTGAACGAGATCAAGGCAATGGACACGGAAAGGGTTAAAATCTGAAAATCCTGAGCTAAAAAAGATATATTAGTGTGATAATTTACATCTAACGGGCTAATATTTATTTAACGACTCTATTTCTTTGATTTAATAAAATACTTAAATTTTAATTCTATCTAAAATTTAAGAATGAATAAGAAATTTGTAAAAAAAAAAAAGACTAAATGCAAAGTAAAATAATGATTGACTCTAAGGTAATTAGTAATAAAAATAACCTCAGGCGATTTCTTCATCAAAACGTATCTTCGAGAATGAAAACAGTGTTCAAAATTTATTGTTTTGATTCCGAAATCTACCTGTCGCGAATTGTTTTCTTGCGGATATAATTTAATATAGTTATTTCGCAAACGGAGAAAGTAAAATGAAAACTTTTATATTTCACAGTGTTGAAAACTGTGATTTATTATAATGAAAATTTATGAAATGAAATGAAAAGTAAAAAAAAGATTTTTGTTACGCGATGCGCAAGAAAACCTAGCCCGAACTAATATAAATAAAACATTGAAAATGTTACTAATCACGGATATATAATAAAATATACCCGTGGTCACTATGCTCGTGCAAAAATCTACGTATACAACCAGTCACTCGTGCCGATTCGGACCTTTCGTCCTACGACATGGTTGAGTGACCGGAGGAATCAAAAAGCATGCGACTCACCATTAGACGCAAGGAAGACACAAGGAAGTCATCACCGTGTAGAACATCTGTAACAAAAAGCGAAATATAATTTAAAATATAGTAGTCCAGATAACTTAAAAGAATGAAAATAAAAAGAACGAAATTATTGAATATAATGGAATAATGATAAAAATTCTAATGGACTTTAATTTAGTAATGAAAATTAAGATTTTAATATGAAGAAAATTTAATGAAAATTAAAAATCCAATGATTTTATATCGAATTTTTATTTTAGATAAAATAAAAGATATTTACCTCTTCGCGTGATGGATGACCGCCTTATTTTCTTGAGAGAAGCACTGAATCTAATTTCGCGTTATCCATTGAAGGATTTAAAGAAACTGTTACGAAAGCAAACACTGACTCTACTGACCGCATTGCGCGCGGTTAAAAAGATTCTCTGAAAGTATAAAATATATTAGTAGAAAGGGATGGGATGGAAAAAGAGGTAAAAATATTCTTTCGATATCTTCTTTCTTTTTCTTATCAAACATTTGTTTAAAAAAATATTGTCACTCGAATGAAATTTACAAAAGTTACGAGTTGTAATTGTTCGTTATTACAATTTAAAATGTTTGATAGATAATGATAAAGTGTTATAAATATTTGTAAAATATCAAAAATTTGTAAGAAAAAAAATATATTGTGACAGAGATCCTGAAACACACAAATAAGAATTAGTGTAGTTCTTAACTTGGCATCGATTTCCAAAAACTAATGTTTCTAATATAATAAAATTTTCATAAATTCTTTCTAATATCATGTATTTAAACAAATGAATTTATATTGAAATCGATGCCAATTACCAGGTCTCACCAACGAGGAGGTGACTACATCGAGACCCATAAAAAAAGATAAATTAATAAAAATAATTAATTAATTTATCTTTATTTTATTCTTATATACATAAAAATTAAATGAATATATAAATAAATATTAAAATAATAAATAAATGTTTAAATAAAATAAATTAAAAATAAACGAAGAAATAAATCAATAATTAAATAAATGAATAAATGTATAAAATAACTAAAGAAGTAAAAATAAATAAGTCAAAAAGTGAATGTGAATTGAAATAAATGAAGAGAAAGAAAGTCAAATGTAAAATTAAAAAATAAAAAAATAAATGAATATATAAAAAAGTAAACGAATAAATAATTAAAAGACTAAATGTTTAAATAAAACAAAGGAAGAAATAAAAAAGTCAATTTAAAATTAAAAAATAAATGAATGAATGACCAAACATATAAACGAACTAAACAAATAAACAAATCAAAGAGTAAATGTTTAAATAAAGCAAAAGAAGAAATAAGTAAATCGATAAATAAAAAGAAGAATTAATAAAATGAATAAATAAATAAAGGAATAAAAAAACTCGATACGAAAAATTAAAAAATAAATAAAGAAGTGAACAAATATATAGAGAAGTAACCGAATAAATAAATCAAAGAATAAATGTTTAAATAAATCAAAGAAAGAAATAAATAAATGAAGAAATAAAAAAAAATTGATGCAAAATTAAAATATAAATAAATGAATGGACAAATGTATAAAGAAGTAACCGAATAAATAAACTAAAGAAAAAATATTTAAATAAAACAAGGGAGGGAAAGTAAATGAAGAATAAAAAATCGATGTAAAATTAAAAAATAAAAAAAGTCTATGCAAAATTAAAATACAAATAAACGAATGTATAAAGAAGTAAATAAAGAACATATAAATAAGGAAAAGAATAAGAAATAAATAAATGTATCAATTTATTAGCTAAACAATATTTAATTCATAAATTGAAATTACAATACAATGAAATTAATTTAGAATAAATCTTAAAAAAGCGAACGATTGCTAAAATCTAGTGTTATAATATCTAAGTGTTATAATATCGATCTATCTATCAAGGAGGTTCGACAGATAATAACCTCAGCCTCGCGACCTGCCTTATATTTATAGACTGTCGCTACGAACGAAGCTTGGCGAAAATATACGACCTTCACCGATTGTATGAAAACTGATTTTTCGAATATGATTATCAATAATTTAACAATTTCTCGAGTTTTATTATTAATTTATACTATTTAACAATTTATTATTATAATAAAAGTGATGTTTAATATATTTTTACAAAGTAAAACTATATTTTACAGTTCTTTCGTATTATTTTTCGACTCGAAACCGTATTAAAATATTCTGAATACAATTTTGTATCAAGAACGATTACGAAATAGTTTTAAAATAAAAATAATTAATCAATTATTTAACAATTTTTAAATTTTCATCGTTAATTTATGAAAATAACTAAATTAGATTTTTTACAAATTTATGAATTATTTTTATAAATTAATATATTCTTTTACTTTTTAATTCTTCTTTGCTTTTTCCCACATCGCTTTTTTTTTCTATCCACATCTCGAAATCTTAAATTTATACCTTCAATAAATAATTATGACGATAAATAGAACAATTTTATATATTTAATTCTCTCTCCTAAATCGATTTTCAATTCGTATTTCTGTGCAATTTTAAATTTTTCCCGAATTTTGTGACTTTCCTTTCGTAAATCAATATTCTCACTTCACGTGGATATCTCGATCGATTTCTCTGCATATAAACGTTATGTCGTTTAAAAAAAAAATTGTCGTCACGTTAACTTAAGGAAGCTCTCGTCCGTATTCGATAATCCAGGTTAGATATCGACACGCGTGATACACATCGTAAGATATCGTCGTGCACAGAGTTCCACTTAAATTCAATCGAACGAGCCATATCCCCAAGGAACTGGAAAAGAATAATACTTCCGTAGGGATGGTGCATTTGTATTCCAATCCAGAAAGCAACGCTTTAAAAGCTTCGAGGAGAAGGCAAAACAGCGTATCAAATGATCGAATAGATTTCAATATGAAATTTTAAACCTAATTTTATATGTGAAATTCTAAATCATGGATTTATTAGGATAATTGGATGAAATAGAAAAGATCCGACAAATGAATTTTTATCTAATTTATTTCGTACTTCAGTTTTTGATTTCAAATTATTTGTCAACTATGTGATGTGGGTATTTCAGAGTTGTAATATACGTGATATCAATTTCGTGATGAAACTATTCGTAACTATTTTATTTCTTGTTTGTTTTTACATAGTTTTACATATTTTTTTCTTTTAACTTTTTTCCTACCAAGTTTTCTTTAACTTTGTCTTCTTCTCTCATTCCTTACTTCCTTCATTCTTTCTCTAATATTTTTTAATTCTTTATCGCCAACTTCCTTTATTTTTTTTCCCCATTCAATTACAATTTTTTTCAACTGTAATTATTTCCTGATCTCATTTCCATTCCTCGTCTGTCCTCAACCCTCTTGAATTCTAATCTTAACTCTTCCTTTCTTATCAACTTTCTAATTTTTTTCAAATTTTCCATTCAAATTTCCCTATCTCTCTCTCTCTC